ACTGGCTATATGCTGATGACTCAAACACACATTTCCAGCCTGGACCTCTCCCCTGAACTCCAGAGCTGTTTATGCAGGCGCCTCCTCCATATCTCCACCTGGATGTCTAGGCTACATCTCAGCTTAGGCTGTTCTGATCCAACAACGCCCCCACCCAATCATGCCCCTGCCCCTCCTCATGCTTCTGCCCAAGCCCTCCCTATCTTGTTAATGGCACCTCCATCCTTCCAGGTGTTCATGCCAAAACCCGTGAAGTCATTCACGACTCTTTCCCTCTCACACACATCTAGTCTGTCAGCAACTGCATTGTCTCTGCCTTCAAAATAAGGCCAGAATCCGACTCCTCTCACCTGGACTGTTTTTGTAGCAGCCTCCTCACTGGTCTCTTGCTTTCTCTCTTGTTCCCCTTCATCTGTCTCCATGCACCAGCCAGATTACTTAACACCCAGGTCAGACCACATCATCCCTCCAACTGTCCCCATCTCAGAGTGAAGCCCGTGGGCCCTGCACTTCTTATCCCCTCTCCCTGCTTAAATTGTACTGGGTATTTACCCGTTTCTAATAGTTTGCACTTCCCTTTGTTTTGTTCTTGCCCCACCACCTGAATGTCAGGGGTAGTTTCAGACACCACTGTGTTCCGTGCCCCTGATGGGACTCAGGTGTGGACCAGGAGCTCCCGCCATTGGGGCCTGTGTCCTGGTCACTGCCAGTTCCCAACCTGGGCACCACATCTCAAGCAGCTCTCAAGCAGATCCTTCTCTTCCCCATCTGGGTCTTCCTCCCCAACCCCCATCCCTAGCTCCTCCTGCTGCCTCATGGGGCTGGGTGTGTGCACTCCACAGACTTCAGCTCCCCGCTCTCCACTTCAGGGGAGGATCAGCAGATTTTTCTATGTGACCCTATGACCCTCCTAGTCCCAAACCCTTCAACAGCCCCTTCGCCCCACACCTGCACAATCCTCCTCAGTGCAACGACCCAGGCTCTTCCCACCTCTCAGGCCCTTCCTGCACCCAACCCCAAAGGTTTTTTGCTCAGCCTCCCTACCTCACCTGCTTGGGTGTCACTTCCTGTATGAAGTCCACAACCTCCAGACCCAATCACCGCATTTGTTCCCACACAGCTCACCTGCCCCCACACCATGGGACTCTTGTGTGTCACCTCATGATGACCGCTGGCAGTGGCCTTGGGCCATGAGTCCTTGCAACTTCTTCGGACCCGAACCCCCCCCCCACCTTCCACGGGGGTGGGTGGTGGCTGTCAGCCCTGGGGATGGGTGGGGGCAGGACGAGGCTGCCTGGAGGCAGGTGCCAGAGGCCTGGAGAGGGAGTGGCTGCCCAGGAAGCCCAGTCTGTCAGCCCAGCGAGGCGTCTTATCATTGCAGCAGTGCGTGACCATGAAGTCCCAGGTCTGGGACTATCTCATTTGTGAATAAACAGATGAGACACATCCCTGGGAGCCCAGTTAATGTCAGATGGGCCAGAAAGGGACTCGGACATGGTCCTGGGATGGGGGGGGGGCCCTGGGCAGGTTTGTGTGGGTGGGTAGGCGGCACTGCTTGGGCCTCATGGTGTGGGGGATTGTGGGTGTCCTGGAGGCACCAGAAGGGCTGGGCACACCCCACCCCAGACCTGGCCCCCATTCTCACCTGAGGCAAGGTCAGAGCACAAGTGGAGGGTAACAAGTCAGGTTTTTTTCATGGGATACTTACCAAAGCCAGCAGACACCCTTGCCACTGGTCTTTATGAGGGGCCAGGTGTGGAGTGGGCTGGTCCCCTCAACCTCACACACTCTAGATGGTGCCGTCCCCTCTTGTCCATGCACTTTTTCTATCTTACCCTCTTGTAATTGATAAGAAACCACCTTAAATGTAAACTTTGGGAACAGGATTTCAGCCAAAGGAAAGGCACTCTAATGGTGAAATACCAGGTTATCTGTCTGCAACCCCAGTGAGGCGTTTTGGGTTGCTGGGACATCCAGGCTGGCCTGGCTTGAATGAACTATTAAGGGAGAGACTTTTTCATCAAGTGCTTGGTACACAGTAGGTGCTCAATAAGCTAGAGCAACCTTTCCCAAAGCGTGATTAAGAAATGGTTCAGTGGTAAAATGTTTGGCTTCTCTGTGGCCATTGTTCCAGAAGTTTGTAATATGTATTGTGCGTCGTGAGGCACCAGCCGCCTGCATTTTCCCAAACTTCTCTGACCACAAAGCCATATCCTAGGATTTGCATCTTGGAGGACTCGAGCTCCCTGAAACCCACTTTGGGAAATGCCGTGACAGGCCCCTTTCTAAGAACTCCTTAACTAGAGGGCTGGTCCCTTCCCATCGTTCATTTAAAAAAAAAAAAAAGAATTGTTCTCAATGTTATACACATGTATAGCTGTAGTAGTAAATACAAGGTTTACTGCATTCCACCCTACTCCCAAAGAAAACCACTTTGAACTCTTTTAGCTTTTCTTCTGCACTTACCTTCATATTTCTAAATAACATGCTTAGTTGCTCTCTTTCTTCAGTTTTGGACGCTGCTGACTTCCCACTATGGATGATGAGAGCTCAGTTCTCTTACACGCGCCACACAGGCACATTACCACACTTTCTCGCTTAGTTCCATCATACATTTTTATATTACTAAAACAACAGTCATTATTATTTGTATGTTTACATTATTATTTGTAAATTTTACTTACAGCTGAGTCATGTGGGGGGTACTATGGTTGTTCTTCCTTTCTTAATATTGTTTGGCAATAAAGTCTCTTTTTTACTTGCTTAATTTTCTGTGTCTATTTCAGATTCATCTCAAACCCTGTGACACAAGTGTAAACGGAGTGTTGACACTTTCTGACACCTAAGGTCCTCTCACGGGCCTGCAGCCCAGCCCACTGTGGACGGAGGCTGTGGGCCTGAGCCGCCTCCCCCGCGGGGTCCCTTCCCAGCACTCTTCCTATTTTCAGGACTCCACATCTCTGTTCACCCCTCTTCTTCAGGCAGCTTTCTGAGAATGGCTGCAGAGGTACATTTTTTGAGCCCCCCCCCCCCCCATTGCTCTTGTGGAGCTCTGGTTGAGCGGTGGTTTAAGGTCGGCAATTTGAACCCACCAGCCGCTCTGTGGGAGAAGGATGTGGCAGTCTGCTTCCATAAAGATTACAGCCTTGGAAACCCCTTGGGGCAGTTCTGCTGTGTCCTACAGAGTTGCCGTAAAAGTCACAATCGACTCAACAGCAGCGGCTTTGGTTTTGGTTCAGTCAGCGAAAAAGAGGAAGACCCTCGACAAGCTGGATTGATACAGTGGGTGTAATAACGGGCTCAAACATAGCAACGACTGTGACGTTGGCACAAGACTGGGTAGCGTTTTGTTCTGTTGTACATAGGGTCACTGAGTTGGAACCGACTTGACGGCACCTAACAACAACACTGCTATTGTGTCCTCGTGGTGACCCCCTTTTCCAGGGCAAGAAGGGCTGCTCACAGTCCCTGAATGTCCAGCTGGGCCTGTGTTGCTGAGCACTTCCTTGAAGACTGTGCCCCCACCATCCCCTCGTCTTACTGTAGTTCTTTGTTGGCGTAAGTAAAGGCCAGGGTGCTGAAGGTTTGCACCTGGTTGCCAACAGGTGACAGGCCAGCTGCGTGCACAGGCAATCCCACTGCTCCTGACCAGGCATGGCCTGTTCCAAGGTCACAGCTCCCTTCCGCCCTTGGCCAGTTTTGCCTTCCCCATGCACTTTGATTCCTCTGAGGGCTTTTCATCATCCTCATGACAACTGTGTGGTTATCATCTTTGCGACGCCTTCAGTCACACACACACCCCTCCCACATCCCATGGCCCTTCCTTGGGTGGGGTTTGGGTCTGAAAGATGCTCCCCTCCCGCCATCCCTGGGAGCCAGGCACACCCACGCTGGCCCGCACACAGGAAGCCCTGGGTGTTGGTTTCATTTCTCCCCCTTTCCAACCACTCTGCAATCAATCTAAGAGAAAGCATAGCTCTGGGAGGCTGCGGCTGCTCCTCTAAGCTGGGGGAGGGGCAGGATGGCAGCAAACTGCAACCAACCGACAAGTGTTTCACACACATGGTGCGCTGCCCAACGCTTCTGCAGTGGTTTCACATCATTACAAGGCCCAGGGAAGGTGGTGGCCTGTGATAGAAGGACCTGGTGAAAAGCTCAGAGACGCAGGATGAGCAAATGGCTGATGGTGGAGAAACCTTCCCAGATCTGTCCTTCCCTCCATACACTGAGAAAGCAAAGGAGGAGCCATGTGCCAGGACCAAGCCCCACGTAGAGACCCTGCGTTGTGCCCCTTGGTGCTTGGGCACCAGTGCCCAAGTTAGGACATCTAACCCCTGAGCCAGGGACAACAGCTGCTCCAGGGGAGGCTCCGGACTGCACTGTGTGGCCGAGACCAGCTCCACTCCCCTCACTCTGTGCTCAGCCGCAGCACCACTGCAGTGGGCAGAGGCCTGGCTCTGGCTGGAGTTCTGGCCAGCACTGCTGGGGTGGGGATCTCACTGCCAGTCAACAGGGCCTGAGGCCAGGGCTCTACTTGGTGATGCTCCTTTCATCCAGTGAAAACAATCCCATCAGGGCACCAGCCACGGTGTTGGGATTCTGGTCTTTATTTCTGTTGCCAAACTTAGTGACAAAGTGCTCCCAGTGGCCATGCAGTCGTCGGAGGACCAGGAGCAGGGAAAGGCATGGCCCCAGCAATATATGTCACCTAAGTCACAGCAGACCAAACAGAAGGCCTTGGGCAGAGCCTGTGCGGCAATGCAAGTTCCAAGCCCCGTGGCTGTCAGGGCAGAGCCACCCAATAGAAACCAAGGAGGCAGCTGCGTGGCTCGGACATGGATGGGGCGAGTCACCCCAGCAATGCAGAGGGCTCTCTGCACAGAGCCCCCATCTTTTTGAGCCCTAGCCAAGGAGACAGTTCGCTATTTTCCCGGCTACCCAGGTGGACTGGCACTTGGGATAACTGGTGAAACAGAGAAATCCAAATGTTCATATGATTGGTTTAATTTTTTTTTTTTTTTCAGCAGGAGAAAAAAGAATAAAGTTACAAGATTCTTTTAATATTTTCACAATGTTAAAACTAAAACTGAGCTCTAGGCTACGTGTGTAAGTAAATCTAGAACACAAAAGGGTTAAATAAGATCTTCTCTTTTAAAGATACAAGAATTTAAGCTTTCCTTACATTTAACAAACTTCACAGAACAGATACTGCAGGGGAACAAGCCCTTCCTCCCCCCACCCTCCAGAGCTCTACCGTCATGACGTGAACGCGGGCTGCGAACCTGTGTGCACCGCCACAGCCGCCGGGCCCCAGACAGCCTTCTTCCCGTCAAGGCCTCACAGGGAGCTGGTGAAGCCTGACAAAGGCCAGGGAGGATGCCGGGTGGCCTCTCCGGGGTCAGAGCTTGGTGGGGGCCTAGGCAGGGCCCACCTCACTGAGGATGGCCACGTACTGGCCAGAGGGCCGTGGCTTGACAACAGTGGTAAACGTGGGGCAGACCGGCCCCTCTGCCCGGTCTGGGTCCTGAAGCAAGAATTAAGGCTGGAGATTTTGCAGCGGATTCCACTGTGTTGGGGGCGGAGGGTGGGTGGGAGGGGGTTGGGAAGAGCACGATTTCCTATTTCAGATCAAAACACATTTGTAGTTCCAGGTGTCCAGCTGTTAATTTGCAGACAAGAGTCAAACTGTTGTTTTATAAAAAGGGAAGTTGCTGGGTTAAACTATTCCAGTGGCCTACGGCGTGTGGGCAGATCCGAGGTGCCTTTCAGGAACCTCCTACCCTCACCTACGAGGATAAGATGGGGCTCAGGCTGTGGGACCCCTGATGCACCCACCCACCTCACACAAGGGAAGCAGGCCCCATCTCCCCACTTCCCACCTGGCCTTTGATACTGCAGCTACTGAACTCCCCTCTACCCACATGGAGGGGCGCAGGCTTAGAAATATGCTGCCCACCCCCCAAGCAAATGTCACTCTCGGAGCTGGGCCACGGCATGAACCACTGCTCTCAACAGATACACCCACTGTCCTTGTGAGATACGTCACCTTCCCTTCCTACACTTGCTTTGTGATAGATGGGCACTGGTCGTCCCTGGACTATGGGGCTGCATAGAAAGGAGAACGGACGCCCCTGCTGCATCCTCCTGGCCCCTGGAGGCTGAGGCTCCGTGGGAAAGGGCAGAGGCCGAGGGCAGCAGTGTCCCCAGCTGCTCCCCAGCATATCTACTGACTTCTGTTGGCTATGAAACATCTTGTTAAAAACTCCAATATAGAAATCTAGCTGCAGAGGCCAGTGTGTAGACCCTGGCCACGGCGGCTTTTTGCTGCCATTAGCCTTATTTGATCAACTGCCAGATCCCTGCACCCAGCAAACCAGAGCCAGGGGGGCCAGGGGCCCTGGTCGCCTCTCAGGACCATGGATCCTGTGGTCTCATTCGTGGACTAGTCTTGAGTGGAGCTAATTTCCAAAGTGAGGTTATTGTTTCTCCTCTCATGTGATGAGAGAGCTTTTTCATAGTAAGTCAGGTAAAAAATCGTCATAAGAATCTGCCCCCCCACCCCCATCCCAGCTCTGTGGAAGAGCAAGGCCGCCCCCAGCCCAGCCATGTGGCCGATCTCAGCAGCCACCTGTGGCCAAGGCACACATGGCCATCAGGTCTCCCGGCTACTGGGACTAAGGATGAGTGAAGAGGTGAAAGGCTGAACATTAAACAGAGTTTCTGGCAAAGTCATGTGCGTCCTGGGAACTTTAACACCAGCTTCTACTCCTCTATTAACTCAGAGTCTCCATCTGGAACACTTTCCGCTTAAGGCTTTTTATAAGTTTGACTCCAGCAGTGACAGGTATGTGTTGTTTTAAATCCACTAGCCATGCTCAAAAAAAAAATATTCTTCATGTTTTAATTTTATACAATGGCTAGCAGGCACCTTAGTAACCAGCCAGAAATCAATTTCAACCACCATCAACCCCTAAACTACAGTACCAGGATGGCTGGCTAAAGAAAGGAAACAGACTGGCTGTAGTCGACACGTGCCCAGTACAAGGTGTCTGGCTGACTTTGTCCTAAATAAGGCTAACATTAGTGAACTAAGAACAGCGTCACGTGGCGGCCGCGCCTGGCCTTCAGGAGCACCCCTCCCCGATGCGCTGGCAGGAGCGTCCCACTTTCCGGTCCAGTTTCACCATTTTCATGATGGCTTCCTCTCGGCCGCGGCCCATGTGGTCAAATGTACAGTCGTGCTGCTCGGGGAGGCGATGTAACATACAGAACACGTAACCTGCAGCAGCGGGAGAAGCAGAGGAGACAGACTGTTAGGGGGGCCTCGCCCTCACGCTGGTCCAGAGACTGGAGGTGGGCATCTCGGGAGGACAACAGCCACAGCACGAGCTCCTGCTGCTGAAGAGTTTGTTCTAACAGCCCACCCTTTACAAGAGGGGCCATCACCCCACCTGCCACAGCTCCTCCCTCCCCAGGGAGGCACTCTGACACCCTCAGAGCCATGGGGGGCTTCTCCCTCTGCACTCAATGCTCCTTCCTGGACTCCTGAGGGCTGGGGCTCCTAGATGACTTCCACACAGAGACACACTCCCTCCCCTTGGGAAAGAGTGGGTCTGAGCCCCTTCCCCGCTCCAGCGTCCGTGCAAGTGGGGAGCACAGAGCTGCCAGCTCAGCACTTTCCCTGCTCCGGCCAGCGGTAATATCCACGACAGGACACACCACTTCCAGGAGGCAAGGGAGGGAGGAGAAATGATTATGACTTAAATTACATTCTACCTCCTGGCTACCAGGGCTTAGGGGGATGGTAGAAGTGATCAAACCACAACCCATAGTGAGTGGGGCTCTCAAAGGAGAATGGATTATTTCAAGTCCTGGAAAAGGTACTGCATAAAATGGGGGAAAGAACAGAAATGTTGAGCTCTAGTCGCCACCTCAAAGGAGCCCGATGCCTTTGAGTCCACTGGTCGGTGGGAGGCGAAGTCCCTACACTCAGGACCTCCCATGTGCCCTGACCCCCAGAAGGGGAGGCGGCTGCCAAGGAGACAGACAGGTTCTCTCCTGTTGGAGCTGAGAAGTCCCAGGGAGACACTGGCTGGCAAAGAAGAGAAGGAGGAGACCAGAGAAGCTGGTAAAGGAAGGGTTGAGGAGAGGCCTACAGAGCAGGAAGATGGTACAGATGACATCCTTCTGGGTAGAAGACGAGAGAGGCACTCAGCGTCTGGAGAGGTGCTCAGAGGACAGGAAAACACAGCTGCATCAGGATGTAGCTCATTCCCTGCCCCGCTTCCTGGTCAGGGGTGTATGTGTGTAGGGGCACACACCTGAAGTCCCCTGGATCTGTCTAGCCCTCCCTTTCAGGGAGAGTGGGGAGGAGGAGAACTGGGCTAGGAGACACTGGCAGGGCAGGCTGGCTCCTCACCACCTTCTCATCCTGTCAGTCACATCTGGCCACACCTCCAGGCCCCAGGTCCAAGCTGCTAGGCTAGTCCTAATCCTTTCCTAAACCTCTCCCTGTGCACCTGGAAAACTCTGAACATGTGTCCCCACAGCAGCCCTGCCAGTGCGATGTTCTCATCCATTCCCTATGCAAACGGCGTCTCTCCTCAGAGCTCAGATCCAGGCTGCCAGGGTGAATGGGCAGCCATTCTTGCAAGCTGTGACTTGTCCATACCCACATCCTCAACTTCCTTTTGGGGGACAGTGGTGGAGGTTGGGATTTTAGAAGAATAACAGAAGCAGAAACAAGGACTGAGTGGCTAGGGTGGCCAACAGTTTCAATAGCCTTAACTTTTAAGATTAACTTCAGAGAATATTCCACAGCCTAAGGAGGGCTGTGTGTGTGTATGGACGTGTGAATGCATGTGTGCGCGCGTGTGTAAACAGCCTGACAGCACACCCCTGGCCTGATGTCCAGACCTCAAGCTGTGTGCAAGAGTACATGTACACACACTGGGGGTCCTGAGCGACCAGGTCGAGCCTGGACCATCCATTTTGCAAGAAAATACATTATTAACTGCTTCCCAGGGAGAGCAGGGCAATATGTTTGACTCTAAATTGGGATTGGGTTTAAGGAAAAGAACAGAGATGACATTTTTGTCTCCCGAGAAGCTGAGCTCCCACTTGGTCCAAAAGCAAAATTAAGATTAATGCGCTCATGTGTTATATTTACTGATAAGTACATTACTCGAAGATACTGGATATCAGCTGTCTTTCTCTAAAGGATTCCACAGCTGAAGCATGAATGGCCTCAACACACACCTTCCACCTAACAAGCAAAATCATCCTTTCAGCACAAAGCCCACCTGTTGGTGGGGGCACCAACAGTATGGCATCATGATTTATCTGTAGACAATCTGTCACCCACTCCTAACATACTCTGTATTTTCACAGCCTATAATAAGAGATTGGGGGACCCCTGCTGCCCCTCCCTTCCTTTAAGATATTGAGATGATTCTGGAGAGAAGGTCCCAGGGGCTCTTCTCTCCTGATGAATAGTGCTGGTTGAATAAAAGCAGCAGGAAATGGATTACCACTGGAATTAACACTGCTCCTGGCTCGCAGCTTAACACCTCATTAGTCTAAGGCAGACTGGGGGGTGGGGGAGGCTCCAGTCATGTCCCATACACCCCCGATCCAATTTTGCTTAGCTGGACTTCCGCAGGGTAGGGGGCAGCCAGCTAGTAGACTGGACAGCCCCTAGCACCTTCTGGAAAAGGAAACAGGAAGGAACCACCAGAGCCAACTCACTGATATTCTCTTCACCCATACCCAAGGATTCTCCATCCAGCCCCAAACACCTTGTTTCTCTACCCAAGTTCTGTGCACCTCTGTTCAACACACTTTGACACCTGGCTTTGATTTTTGAAAGATTAAAACTACTAAACAACAGCTAGATTTTAGGAGCAAAACTGGTAACAATTAGAATACATGGCATTCTAGTTCACTGGGGAGAAGTCTGGGGGAAATTCTGGAAGGCTACCTTCCCAAGTTGCTGCACTGATGTTATTAGATGGCATAAATTAAGCTCAATTCCCTCTCCTGTCAGGGTCACTCACCGAGAGGAATTTACACACTGGATCTTGTCCCAGCTGCGGAGTGGGTATTCTACACCGACAGCAGCCAATGGCTACATGCATGTCAGTGTCAGCAGTCCGGAGCGGCTTGTCCTGGAGACTGGGGATGGCGGTGGGATGACTGGTGGGTGGGGCAAATCTTTACCCTCTTTTCTTGGTACCTACAGATCTGTTTCCAAAAACCACTGCAAGTGTCATGAACTTTCAATTACTCTCTGACTGAATTCTGGAGGCCAAGCTAGGTAAAGAGAGGGTTCAGGCTGCCGGGAGGATGACGGTTCTTAATCTCAATGATGAACACCGTTTTAAAACACAAGGGGATTTACAGCCTCTGTTTTGGCTAGGCCAGCCTCGACATTTCCTCCACGCCTGTCATCAGACACCAGTCGGGGGACCTTCCAGAGAGGGCCCAAGGAGCCCAGACGGCATGAAAGCTCAAAGGGCACTAACCTAACACCTACTCGGGTACTCATCACTCAGGATTATCATGCAATCCTATTTTTCCCTACTGCTTTCACAAAGAGTTTTATATAAAAATTGAATTCACTCTTTCACATACACACAATTCCATATCTACACTCTCCTTATGACTCTCCAAGGTTCAGCCATCATTTAATTTTTAAAACAAGTTTAATATACTTTTGCTTACTATAAATATACACTATACAGTGCTTTGGAGGGACATGGATGGATACAGGGTAGGGGAATATGATTAAAAAGGATGCTGATCCCTAAAAGAGAGGAACTTGCCTGAGGCAAAAGTTTTTGAGACTACAGTCTCCCTGCTAAATGAGGTTCAACCTCTGCCCTTTCCCCTGCAAGTCATGTGGAGTCCTTGGAGCCTCGATTACTGGATTTCCATGAAATACTGGCCCTGGAGGAAGCCGAAGGGTTCGTCTAAGGCTGCCTGAGTTGTTTTCAGTAAATCTGCACAAAACATGCTCAAGAACTTGTGTGGGTGTTTCTTTGCTTGCTGGCTCTGAAGAGCAATTTAGGATAAGCCCTTGATTAAAAAGGGAGGGTGAAGCAGCAGCTCTATAAGCACTTTGTTCCATGACCCACCTATCCACGCCTGCTGGACTGGAGCCTCTCCTGCCACCACTTTGCGAGCTGGGCTGGCAGGTCGCCAGAGGGTCTCCAGAAGCGACTCCCTCGGTGTGAGAAGACTTTCTTCACCTGAGGAGGCAGCATCAGGAGGGGGCACATGGAACAGAAAGGGAGGAAGAGGATGCCTGCCCAGATGACCACGGTGGCTGAAGCACCCCAAGGCTGTCCTCCTGGGGCCCTGCCCAAGCCCGTGGCTATGGACAGCAAGGGGTGAGGGGGAGCAGTAGCCTCCTAGACCCTGTCATACCAAAGACACAGAATGTGGCATAAGGCAAAAACTGCAATCCAAGACCTACTAAAACCTCTGTCCCTACAGAATCCCCTGCGAACGAGTAACGTGAAAGAGCATTCACGTCACCCACCCTGAACACAGAGGTGGGGGCTCCTTCTGGGAAGACAGATACTTCAGTGGAGGCCGCTCACAGGCATCACACCAGCACATTGGACTCTGCTCTCCTGATGCAGACACGGGGCCTGTGGCTGCAAAGAGCCATACGCCTCCCTGGACCACACAGACTTGAAGATGCCTAACACCTGCAGGGTCCTGGAAACGTTTCCAGCAAAAAAAACGGAACTCTGACCTGACCTTACAAGCTTTTAAAGCTAACATCTGAAACGCATACAATTCATTCAGATGCTCTCACCCACAACTAAACCTTACCTCTGCTCACACAGGGAAAGATGTGGGTATTCTGAGACAGAAACTACATGACTGAGAGCAATTTGCACAGATGCCATCATTAGCCAAGGATGATGTAACACCAATACCTTGCTCTAAAGCAAGTGCTATCGAAGTTTAACAATATTTCCTATTCCACTAACTTGTTTAATAAAAAAAAATTTAAAAAGGCAACTGCTGTCCAAGAACACCTCAGAGGCCTCCTAACCCTGTGCTCTCAGCAGTGCTGGCAGGCAGCTTGTCTGCCAGTCCTTTCCATCCACAGGCCATGGGAAGTGGCCACTGCACTGGAGGCAGGAAAGGTGGGTGGAGTGGGGAGCAGAAGGGCAGAAGGAAGGAGCCATCCTTGAGTCCTACAGGAGGTGGCGCCCCACCCTTGGCTGAGGCCCTAGGCCCACCAGGCCAACACTTCCCTACATG